CGCCCAAGCTCATCTATTGGTGAAGAGTTTAAATGTGGCTAAATGTAATTTAGGCAAAGTTAACCTCGTAGCAATGCTGGTCAGCTGTTTCCCTAGCTATATTAGGGGTGGCCCGATGTCTCTAGCAGGGGTACCTCGTGACTTATATACGAAGTTGCTTGCTTGCAGTTCTTTGCAAAGTGTTGTTGCAATTGCTTGCTGTTTGCGTGCCAGTTTGTGCTTTGGTTTTTCCCATCCCTCCCTCCCTCTTGGTGTGGGTTAGGTAAGTATTGGGTCGGTAAGTATTCCACTGAATTGTTCAGTGTGACGGTGCCTGGTGGGGGCCGCTCGCAGGGTTGCCATGGATACCTCCTCCTCATGCTAGAGCATTGCCCGGCTCCACCAACTTTGAAGGCACCAACGCCCAAGCTCATCTATTGGTGATGAGTTTAACAGTTTAATATAAAGGGAATGTACCCAATTTTCTCTGTAGTTCACTATACTTCAGGACATGTTGTGGGCAGCATGAGAAGTTTCTGATCAATTAGCCTGAGTTTTTCCTTTTTGTGTATGGGTAAAGGCATGGGTAAAAGAAGTAATGACTACATGCAGCACAGCTTAGAATTGACCTAAAACAGCAAAATTCTTCTGACATAGCCCCTTTGAGCAATGCAATTGTTGAAGATCACTAGTGATAGTAGCTACCCTGACTATCAATGACCTAAAATGCTTCTGCCTAAAAAGAAAAGGGGGATGGAGTGGCAGGAGACAAGACATAATAGGGAGGAAAGCGCAAGGACTGAATTACAAAGCTACCTTAATATTTGAATCAATTGTTTGACTGTATTTTTGTCTGTGGAACCAGAAAGGATTTTACATTTACAGTCAGTCCTCATGAAAAATTTGGAGAGAGTTGTAATGGTAGTTAATGGCTAATCTACAGATGTCTTTTTTGTCTCTGGCTTTGTGAACTCAAAGTAATTGCAACCCCATTTGTCTCCAGGAATAATACTACAGTCAAACCTCTCTCATATGGACACCGAAGGGACAGAGTGAAGTGTCTGTATAAAAGAGGTCACTACGATGACATCAGTTATATGACTCCACTTACAGTTTTAAGTGTTCAGTAGCTAAAACCAGGCTCACAATCGTCTTTAAACTGCACTTAAATTTATTAATTCACAGTACAAAGACACTGTCTTTCAGTAGCACACAACATTGTACATATCAGCTACAAAGTACTGTAAGTACAGTTGTAGACAAATCACTGTTTTTAATCGAAACGAGCTACAGCGCAATGCTGAATGTAAAAAGTTGTAATGTAAAGCACAATTCTGAAAGCGTCTTTCCTTATTTTGCAAGTGCGGTAAATAGTAACTAAAGTACAAAAATATATGTAACAGAAGAAATCTTTGTGCTATCTTTCCTTCTGTACACCTTTTGCAAATTAATCATTGTTTGCTATAGAGCAACTGGGCTTTTCATATCACCTTGCATAGCTCATCAGCTAGATGGGATTCACCCCGTGCAGATTCACCTGATTGGGATTTGGGATTCACCTGATCTCCTCAGTGTCCGTGATAAAGAGGTTAAGTTTAAATGAATTTACTCCCTGGGGCGGAGATTTAGTATCCGTTGTCCATATTAGAGAGAGTCCGTATTAAAGAGGTTTTTTAAAAGAAAATAAATGAGAAATTTGTTGGGACATTGGAAACTGCCCATAATAGGGAGTTGTCCATATTAGAGAGGTGTCTGTACCGAGAGGTTCGACTGTAATCTAATTATACAGGTCGATTTTTGAGAATGATTTACCAAGTATCATGATGTCCAGTAAAGTACTTACGGTTGGCAGGCAAAGGCCAGGGCAAAAATGGGTACATAGTTCAATAGTTTTTCTGGTCGCCAGTAATTCAGACTGTAGATCCAAGATCCTTCAACAATTCTTGGTAACGCGGTAAAAAAAATCTGTAAAAAACAAGAAGAAGCCAAGAAAAAGGATTGTTGAAAAGTTTAGCCACTGATGAGTAATTTTTCAAACCCATGATCATTTGACATCAGCTGGTAGAACGGCAAACTTACCTGCACAACAAAGAATGCGTAGAAGGACAGTGAAATGGCACTAAATGAAGATAAACTCTTAAGATTTCTCATCATTGATAGAGGTAAACCAACACCAAATGCAAGTAACGTCATAAGAATTGCTCTAACTGTCCAAGTCACCTGGTAAAACAAAATATCGCTTTTAATAAGTTCATAACAGGATAGATGAGTTTTTATTGGGCATCACATGGCTAAGATATGTTTCTTTTCAAAACCCTCTCTCAGACTCAAGGTAAGATTCAGAATCCAAAACTTATGAGGAAAATCTGAGAATAAGCCATGGAAGGGGAGGGGGTTAGATGGGGAGGAGATGAGTTGAGAATACAAGACCTCTTCAAAAAAAATTGCACTTTGAACAAAATGAGATTGTTTTTAGAAATTTTTTAGGTCTAAACGTTTTTGTCCCCCCCCCTCCTATTCTGTTGATCAGGAAATTTACAGGGTCATAAGACGTCATGAGACACAATAAAAAACAAGATTTTATCCCATTCTGGGGTTGCCAGTGTTGTTGCATCTAACTGCAATTGGATCTTTCTGACCTGTTTTACCTTTTAACAGCAGTTTCAGTAACTAAAGTGAACTTGAAGAAAGGATTCTAGAACTCCACACTTGTTTCCTCGTATCTAAAGTAATGTGTTCCTAAGTTTATGTCATGTGGTTCCTTAACCTGGGTTAAAGTTCCTTTGCTTCAGAGAGACTTCCAAGAGAAGACTACTAAAGACAAATGGAGTGCCAAAATGGCAGCAAATTCAAAAGTTTTAAACAAAATTCTAAAAAGACCCTAGATTATGTTCAAATCACAAAATGTTTTTCACAGAGGTTTTAAGTCATGGGCAGTTTATAAAACAAAAATTACATGTATGAATTAGTTTTAAACAAAACTGAAGTATACATGTAGCTTTAAATTGTTATAGCCAGAGAATAAGTTTCTAAAAATGCCAATTCAAGACTTAGTCCTACCTCTGGCTAACAAATTATATTGACTATTTAAAGGTACAACAACTTTAGTTGGAGAAAATTAAGCACTATCCACTTTTTCAGCAACTTATAGAGGCCTGGTGGGAGGTGAGTTAAGAAAGGTCTTTGAATATACAATTACATCCAAACAAAAGAGAATAGCAATAAGTTTGATCAGCATTAAACACAGCTTTTCAATCTCTACCATGTATATTTATTGTCCATCGATACACCAAGTTAACTTCAGGATAATTAATTGAATTTTACATTCTTGTGGTAAAAACCATGTCACAGCTTGTTTGTGCGCATTTCTCTTGCCACTTATACAAACAAACAAATTAATTCATGTCTTCTTGCCACCATATTATTATAATATCCTTTATAATATACCAGTAACTGTCATCTGCTGTAACTACAGTTTAGAGAAAAAATGTTATAAATGCCACAGAAACATACCTCGACACCACTTAAATTGTGAAATATTGAAGGAACTAAGTCTCCAATTATAACATTGAATGCTATCAGGCTTCCAATTAAAAGACCTATAATACTGGGAAATAAATCATATATTTTTTGTCAAAATTAATCGAAATAATGGCATGATTAAAACCATTAATTCTTTTTTGTTGTCTTGACTACTCTATCAAAGAAGACAATATGGTGATGTGAATCAATCTTACACTCCTTGCCTGCAGGCTTTTACCTAGCTCCTGATCCTTAAAGCAAGACAGACCACACCACAAGTACAAGTCTTTATTGGTTCCCCTACTTTTTCCTAACAGCATAGGCCAAATACATTGTAGAAGAGGTGAGTAACTAAGGATAAGTTAATTAGTGACCAGGCAAATGGCTAAAATAATGTCATCAGCTGAACTACAGGGTCTTCAATCAAACACAGCACCATTTTAAGACAATTTCTTACAGCTATAATGGACTTTGAAACTTAGCCATTTGCCCCCCCGAAATTTTGCAAGAAAAAAAATGCCTTTTGAAGTTACATTTAGTCGAGCCATTATTTTTCTGGTCACTATCAAGCCAAAAGAACCAAACCTTCCCCACAATTTTGTTTACAAGTTCAGCACTATGCTGTCAGTTCTGTTCCTTAAGCTAAACTATGGCCTCTGAATTTCAGGGATGTGCAGAAGGCAAAATTTTAAGATGGTTCGCTTTCTCCCCTCCCCGCCTCTTGTGCTTCTCTTGCCCTGTCATTACTCTTTATGGGAATTTACGAGGATTCAGTTTTGTTTGAAAAGGTTTTGAGAAAACTTTTAAAATTGAAAGATTATCTAAAAGAAGGTTGGTGTTGGACCATTATATTCATTAAATTTTCAGGTCAATTTGCATTTTTCCCTAGCCAGCTTGACTGAATCCAACTCATTTGTGCATGGTTCTGAAAGACCCCTCTACTCCTGCACAAGTTAGGTGTCAAAGTTGCTATGATTATTCAAACTGACAACGTCTCAAATGGTACAAGGGACAAGGATCCTCTGCACAGGCAGTTACGGGTTTTGTTCAGGGGTGAATGGGACAAAGAGATGTTCATCTTCATTGGCCAATGATCAAACTCCAGCAAAGTCAGACTCACAGACTTTGTTGTGATAATAAAAACATTAACAGATTACACAAGATACCAGTGAACAAGCCTGTGAATTGCTACACTGTAATTGCTTGGGAGTTTGATTACCTTATTTCTACAGCTAATTTTCCTGGTGCTCCATATGTAGACAATGCTAAAAGACAAAGCATTAGGAATGATCATCATTACTATTGTTACATAATAAATCACGCTTTTCAGCAAACGAAAATCTATTTACAAGAGTGAAATGTGTTGGTATTTCATTCGTCTTTATCACAAAAAATAGAACTGTAAATGTAACATATCCTTGCACATTGAGCAAGGTTTTCCTGACCCTCTGCTTAATTGCCTGCGGCTTCAACGAGTGTTGAGAGGGGTCAAGCGTTCCCAGGGTTCCCCGGCTGCTCAGCGCCTTCCGATTACTGACAGCCTTCTATTGGTCATTCATCGGGCGTTGGACCTCAAGCTTTTCGATCATTGCGCCTTTTGGGCAGCCTGCATGCTGGGTTGTTTTGGTTTTCTCCGTGTTGCTGAATTTACAGTCCCCAATTTAACCAGCTTTTCTCCAGCTATTCATCTTTCAGTGGCTGACATCGCAGTGGATTCACGCCAGTCGCCAACCTGCCTCCGTGTTAGGATAAAAGCGTCGAAAACGGATCCGTTCCGTCAAGGCTGCCACATCCATATTGGTCTGGGAAGGGCACCCCTCTGTGCAGTTCACGCTTTGCTGGCATACCTCTCCATACGAGGAAATGCCCCTGGCCCCTTGTTCCTTCTTGCGAATGGTCAACCTCTGTCTCGCGCAATCTTGACTGATTGGCTGTGGCAAATTTTCTCTACCGCGGGGATTGAGGGCAATTTCTCCAGCCACAGCTTCCGCATTGGGGCAGCCACGGTAGCAGCTCGCAACGGCATTCCCGATCACCTGATTCAGGCTCTTGGACGTTGGACTAGTAATGCATACCAGCTTTATATTCGCACGCTGTTGGAAGCTCTTGCGGGCTTCTCTGGTCAGCTGGCTTGACATCATGTGTCCTTGGCGTTGGTTATCCACATCTCCTTCTACATTGCTGTCAAGTTTAGCACTGAATTGCTCGGGGCTTGCACTGCAGTTTTTGGGCGTTGCTCTCACTGTCAGCTGCTTTCATTTGGTAAGTGTGTTTGTTTTTAGATGCAACTGCTGCGCTTGGTGCTTGGGGTTGTTGGAGTCGGAGGTTCCATTTCACCCTTGTTCGCTGGCCCCCTCCTTTTTCAAGCACCAAGGAGATCCTGGTTGGGTGGGGGCTGCTCACAGGGTTGCCATGGATACCTCCTCCTCATGCTAGAGCATTGCCTGGCTCCACCAACTTTGAAGGCACCAACGCCCAAGCTCATCTATTGGTGAAGAGTTTAAATGTGGCTAAATGTAATTTAGGCAAAGTTAACCTCGTAGCAATGCTGGTCAGCTGTTTCCCTAGCTATATTAGGGGTGGCCCGATGTCTCTAGCAGGGGTACCTCGTGACTTATATACGAAGTTGCTTGCTTGCAGTTCTTTGCAAAGTGTTGTTGCAATTGCTTGCTGTTTGCGTGCCAGTTTGTGCTTTGGTTTTTCCCATCCCTCCCTCCCTCTTGGTGTGGGTTAGGTAAGTATTGGGTCGGTAAGTATTCCACTGAATTGTTCAGTGTGACGGTGCCTGGTG